TTCTGCTTCCAGAACCAAAGCGTACACCTTGGACTGGTTCAAGTGGATGTCAGGCTTGACGAGCGGTATATGGCTCTTGCGTGTCGTGCAACATGGAAAAGTCGATCATTGCGTGGCAATAGACGCAAACCGCGGCATCGTCCTTGATAGCGCTGCACGCTTTCCCTTTGTTCTAAGCGAAGACCTTCTGCACAGGCTTGGGGGTGATCAGGTGACGAGACTTCGAAATGCAGAAGTACGACAGCTTGTGAAGCTCAACAAGAAAAAGAAAAAGAATATAGGAAAGAAGAGGGTTCATAGTGATAACGTGTAGCACTAGTTTCTTATGATCTATTGTTCAGGCTTGACCATCAAGCGTCCATTGCGTACCACGTCAATTAAAGCTTGTTGTTTCATCTTCTTTGTCAAGCCGTCGGCGATATTTGCATTGCTGCGCACGAATCCAATGTCGCTAATTTCTTTCTTAAGAAACCCTTCTCTGGCTGTGGCGATATCAATCATGAGCCGTTTCTCTGCAGGTCGGCTCCCCTTTGAGATAACATCGAAAAGGGACTTGCTGTCGGTGTACAACTGGACCGGTATATTCTTACCATTCATAACAGCTCGGAGGTCCTCAGACAAAGTGACACACACATCAACCATATCGCTGAAGCTGATGACCTCGGTGGCCATCACAGAGCGCGTTACTCTGCGAGCTTTGTACGACTTGAATGTGATCGGTATTGCGTTATTGTTAGCATCCGATAGAAGGCAAATATAACCTAGCAGAGATGTGAAGTCAGCGTTGCTTGCGAATGAAGCATCAGAAAAACCTATTACGGGAAGTGATTCCATTTCGAGCTTAGGCATCATGATCTTCAAAGGGTGAGCATGTACATGCCTGACTAGCCTGTGACACCTCTTGACGATTGCATGGGACTCCACGTCGAATTTATCCCGGGTCACCTGCGCGAGTTGTGATACTTCGGAACAGCAGTCAGAGCGAGTGTGTGTTAGCCAAGACAGTCTCATGCGGAGGGATGCGAAGTCTAAGTAGGTCGCATCAGTTCCTAGCAGGCGGATAGTATTGACATAACCCTTTTGGTCAATCGACAGAGCCCGCGATTCGTCTTTTTGTAGTCGGAATCCAGTGAAGCTACACGGCGGTTTCTCTTCATCGGCCATATCGAATCTCTCAGCTGTCCGCTTTGCTAGCTGTTTGAAATCCTCATCTCCAGCACGAATTAGGTCATCCACATATGTTTCTGAGAGCATCTCCACCCATGCCACCTAAAACGTAAAACGATTTTTTTGGGGGCCACCTGGTGTTTTTAATCTCCACCGGCACGGACCAAACCCACTGGGTGGCGGGGTGCGCTCCCAATTTTTTTTGTTTGGTCCAATTCTAGACCTAAAATAGAAAAATTTGCGCTACCATGACACCCAAACCTAACCGTTGGGGGCCATTTCTTGCTTCAATAAAACAAATTTAAAATAGGTCGACCTCGGCCGACTTTGTCGACTTCGTGGATCACGAGTTCTGTGTCCGATCACTGCAAGTAGCAAACTTTCGAGAGAAGCTGCAGCACTGCGCTCGCTATACTTTATTTCTTTCGCCGACGTTCTCGACAGACGGCATCGAAACTCAAGACTCATCCCCTCGGCGCATGAACCCACAATCTTTCCCATCTTTTATTGGAATACAGCTCGAATACACCTCTTGAGACACAACATGTCCACCAGGTCACCTGCGAATGGTAAGGGAAAGGGTCTATCGTGGTCGGATGAGGAGCATTTGGCCCTTTGTAAGGCAGCTTTCGTGGCCGGAGGCTCGCCTATTTACGGCGCAGGGATGAAGTCAGCGGTATACAGCAAGAAAATAACGGAGGAGTTCCTGAAGGACAATAATAGGCCGCCGCCTGCCTGCTTCAGTGGTCGAAATGGAGGACCGCTGGATGAACGTCGTTGGAACGGGCGAACGCGAGAGTCTTGTTTAAAGATGTGGAGCAAAGTTAAATCACTCTGTACTGCTTACCATGACGCCGTGAAAAGAATCAACTCTATGAGCCTGACTGGGGCGCCAGGAACGGCTGAGGTCGAGAGATGTGTGGTTGCTGTCTATAATGACAGAGACCTCACGTCTCATGTGTATGACATTATCCGTAACCCAAAATACAGAATCGGCAGACCGTTCCCATGCAAGAGTTGTTATGACTTTTTATCCTCCCACACCAGTATGTTGGAAAGTGGAGGCGTTACGGAGAATAGAGATGTTGGAACGCCGGCAAATCAGAGTCCAGGAGATGGGGAGGCGGATGAGTCTGCCATTCAAACGGATGCTTGTATTGATACAGCTGCTGTCGAGAGGCGTGACAAACGTCATATTGGGAGGAAGGGCCGCTAAGAGGATCAAACAAAAGGAAGCGAATGTGAAAAGTTCCATGGGATCAAGTGCAAGTAGGATGGCACAGTCCGTAGAAAACTTCAATGAAGTTTTCAGTGCCGCACAGGAGCTCCTTGGTTG